TTGGAGTTCAGTTGCAGCCTTGGCTTTCCTGGTTTGCTCCCTGCAGGACCGGACCAGTGCAGAATAATCCTCCTTGGAGGTGATTCCCATCCTCCATCCTTTGTAGGCCTTTCTTTTTAGCCTCAGGAGGTCTGCTAGGTCCCTGGAGAGCTGGGGGGGCTGCTGTGTCCTCTTGCTGCCTTTCCTCTGAGATGGAATGGGATTAGCCTGTGCATTGAGGATCGCTTCCTTGAGGAGCAACCACTCTTCTTGAACTCCCCTCTCCCTGGGGTCATGCTCCCTTAGGGTCTCACTGACCAGCCTCCTGAGCTTGTTAAAGTCGGCTTTTCTGAAGTCAAGGACTTCAGTGTTGCTGACTGACTTGCCAGCTTTACGGCGGATGGTGAAGGTGATCAGCTCGTGGTTGCTGTCACCCAGCTTCCCATCGATCACTAGGTCGCTGATTAGGTCATCCCCAATAGCTATTTGGTACAAACCATTTCTGAATATCCCTATTCTTGACAGGTTTACAGTGACTAGGAAACCAGCATCCCTAGGCAGGGAAATACTGAAGGAGAATGTCATATATTTTGCTACATATTTCGAACAGTAGAAGCAGCACATCCAGATACAGAAGCACCTGAAGCATCTCAAATGAAGCCCTTTGAGATTAGATATTGTGCTCAGATTTACTTAATACTTTTTTGGACAGCTGTGCTGGGAAACCAAAGCCTTGCTTTACAGACACAGCAAATGTACTTAATTGTGGAAAGATATCATTAATTTTTTTCCCTTCATAAGTAGGTACTTACTATGGGGAGCACATTTAGGGCATTTTTCTTTTTATTTAAAGTTCATTATCAGCAGTTTATGCTTTAGAAAATGCTCCAAGAACACCAATCAGATTTTAAATCAAAACAGCTTGCTGTCTGGTAAGGGCAGCAGAATTGGTCGATTTATTTCATAAAATTTTATGTACAAAGCAGCAGTATCCATGAACTTAATGGTCAGAATATAGAGTCTACAGGGGTATGTTTTATTACAATTTATAGCAAGATTACCCATACTCCACAGTTTTCAGATTTTATTGAGATTTTATGAGACTATGTGGCTTGAGCAGTTAACTGCACTAGATATAGCTCAGGTTCATGGTGAATGGGAATTGGTGTCTGCATATATAGTGTAACTAATCTACCATTAGGATATTAATTGCCATTGTCCAATCAAAGGCATTATTCAAAAATAATTTCACAAGTAAAATAATTTGCCATAAACACGTGGAATTAATAGCTGTATATACATACATAGAAGGTGTGAGTAAATGTGTGTTTATAATGTATGCACATATTTAAGTATCTCTCTCTCCTATGTTTGCATATATAGACATGTAACACTGTGCTTTTTAAACAAAGGACTTTTCTCATTTTAAATTATCTGAATGTCATAAAGTTCTCTCTCATGTACACAATACTGAACTACCAGAGCTATTAAGATGTAAATCACGCCAAGCATTTAATATGCAAACATGCCATTACTAAACATAAAACAAACCAGGGAAAACAACTAGAGCAGAATATATTTAGAGACTAATTTGAACAACATATTGCACAAGTTCTATAAAACAGTACAAGTCTTCAAGTAACATGCCTCAAGAATCTGTAGGTCCTTGATTATTTTGGATCCCCCAAAAGTTGCAGTAGTTAATTCCCAATGATAAAGAGAAACACATATGCCACGTCCACACATGGTGTGGACATTTGGTTCCCTGGGGACAGCTAGCAGTGGCGCCCCTTGCAACAGACTAAGAATTAAACCTTAAATTTGCTCATTTGTGTTGGAGATATGAATTAGGGACCAATACATGAGAGTGCAGAGTGCATAAAGCAGGCAACAGTAGAATGCCTTACTAAAGGCTCAGGGCATGCCAAAGTAGACCTCCTTACACTTTATAGAAAAGTACAGAGTTGGTCTATTTCTGAATGAGTCTATCTATATGTATTTGTATCTACTCTAGCTCCCTCATTCTTGTCTCTAGCTGCTGGTCTGTATGGAAATGGAGACTTACAAGACCTAAACAATGTTTTTCTCCCTTTTATTTCTAGTAGTAGCGACTCTAGACTCAGACAGGCTCAAGCATGGAGAAAAACCACCATCTTCATGCTTCCGATTGAGATGTGAGAGGGTGAGCATGAGGATGAGAACTCTGTTACCACTTTATCTGCAGACTATGTAAACAGTATCAAACACACTGATGCCACTAAATAAATGACCAATACAAGAACAAAATGCATACTTTTAAGCAGTCAAAATATTTTAATAGGACCTAGACTAGTAAGGGCCAATGTTTTTTAGCAAGCATGCCACAAATTAGCCCACATCCTCCCCAAATGCAACTTCAATCTCCTTCCTCCGTCTAATCAGCTACTGCATTTTCTGCTCCCTTCCCTGTGCTCCCTGTCTGATCTGTTGCTTGTTTTCTGCTTCTGGTCTGTGCTCCTTGTCCTATCTGTTGCTATTCTCTGCCCCCTGCCCTAACTGCCACTGAGCTTCCTATCCCCTCGCTGGTCTGCCACAAGTCACATACAGAAGCTACACGTACCACAGGTTCCCAACCATGACCTAGACATTAGCAATTGTTCAGCACTTATTTGCAAATTTAACTAGAAATTCACATTCTGTAGGTCTCCTGATACTCATACAAAGTAATTTTATTCTGCTCTTCTTAAAACTCACCTCCTTCCCAACTGCATAGTAAGAAAGCATATTTCAGCCTACCAACACTTGAGGCGTTTGATTTTTGGCAGAAGTGCTATCTCCCAAGGTTCTTAAATAAACGAGACATCTACAATAGTGTAAGCTTCACCCAAGAACACAAGCCTCTTCTCTTTCTGCCTCTCTCTCTCTTCAGGTAGTTCCTGATATTCGTTACTCCTTTCCCATAATCACCAGGGATCCTGGTTTTCTCTGATAAAAAAAAAAAATCCCCAGTTTTGGGATTTAAAAAAAGAACCCAAAATCCACATTTCTCCAAGATTAAAATGGAGATATATAGATAGATCTGTAGATCTATAGACCTATACATCTATATATCTACCTGTCTACTAGTGGTGTTTCAGTTTAATAACAGAAAATATTGATTTTGGGTTACTTTTTTAAAACCAAAATTGGGGATTTTTTTTAAATCAGAGAAAACCAGGATCCCTGATAATCACTTATGGTTCTGTCCAATAAAGCAGAAAGTGTAGTCAGTTTGCAGACATTTCAGACATTGAGGAAAGGAGGAACATAAAGCCCAGGTAGAATGTGTTCCACTGCAACAGGTTTTTGCGTACATCTAAAAGGAGCACACAGACATGCAAACAAGATGCAACTTGTTAAAAATCAGGTCAGAAGTAATAGTGTAGTTAACCGCCACCTGCAACTCTTTCTAACCAAGCCTCCCTAATATTGCATGGTTTACATATGTAACTCTATGACACCTAAGCCTGGGAGTCATGATACAAATTAAACAGCACTTAGTGTTACATTTCTAACTTTAAAGCATAAAATGTAAGTTAATAAAGGCCCCTTTAGAGTAGTGGTGCCCAACTTTTTAGTCCTGTGTATTGGAGGAAGGGTGGGGGTGGGTCCACAGGCCAGATTCAATCCAGGGGCTTGATCAGGCATGCATCAGATGAGGCCTCAGAGTGGGTGCCACTGTCCCAGGCCATGTGTGTTGGATTGGGTCCCACAGCCTCAACCCACAGCTGTTCACACTTGCACTCAGACCCCACTGCCCCAAGTCCTGGCCTTGCATGTCAGTGGGATCTTATGTGCTGAACTATGTCACCTGGACCACAGAGCATGGAAATTTGGTGATAGGGGAGTGCTGAAAATATTAACTGCTACCACTGCCCTGCTGCCAAATTTCTGGACCCTTGAGGAGCCTGTGGGCAGGATCACATGACTCTGCAGGCTGGATCTGGCTTGCAGACCAGGGGTTGAACACCCCTGCTCTACAGTGCACCTTGAGAGTGAGCAGAGGTTAAAGCTATCTTGTGTCAATTTAGCAGTGGTACAGTAATCTAGCATTATTTCTCATTTTAAGTTCTAATGATTCTGCTCAAACTTACATTTTTAATAGATATCTTTAGTAGCTTAAATGGGTAACATTTTACATACTGGTGAACAGCTAAAAGATGACTTTTCAAATGTACTAGTATATAAGTTATATTTATGTCTTATACATGCTCCTTGTGCGATATAAAGAGCTGTATTACAGGCATCTCTGCCAGATCTATGTGAAACCTATGTATGCATAACTATATCAAATTATTGATGATCTTGTAATTAAGGCAGTATCACAATGGATATATAGAAAGGGGCTCAAGAGGGTTGTACAAGCCAATGTAAATTTGGCATGCCTATCTTCTGAGGACTTAACTTTGCAACTTTTTCTTAACATAAGGGCTTTTTTTCTTAGCAGAGGTTTTTGGATGCATTTTCCTAATTGTTTAAAAGTAAACACTGAAAGAATATTACTGCCATTGCATGTAAGTATTTTGACTTTCTATGGGTTATCAATAAGGAAGAACAACTATACAGGACTCTAGAAGGTAATGGAGTAAGTGATAGCAACAGAAGGCTGTTATTTTCTAAGTAGACTTGCCACTAGAGGTTCATGGAGACATATAATTTGCTGGTAGTTTTAACAGGTATTTGGCTAATAGGATAGAAATGGTGACACTCAGGAACAAAGAAACAGATAAAGAGGATGTTTTATAGAGGAATGTACCTTAACAGTTACAGAACATTTTGTTCATGTCTCCATCAACCTCTTTGCAACCCCTGCCAGTATGCACTCTGAAATGCCTTTCTGCTCTCTCCTCTTGCCCCATCCCTCTCATCTTCCCCCATCTTTTCCCTGTCCACAGCTCCTTCTTCACCTTGCTCTTGCTCTACTATATTCCCACATCTTTTCTTCCCTCCCAGCATTCAACTTCCATTACCCTAGGCTGAGATCCTACCTTCTTGTATTTCTTTTTTCTCTCCTTCTCCCCAGCCAGTTTCTCTATTCAAATCAGCTTCTTTCCCCACCAAGTCTGCCAGTGTACCAGCTGAAAAAAGAGGAAATAAGTCATGTTTAACCCTTCTCAGTCAATGTATTAAAGACTCTATACAGTGGCTACAGAAAGACAAACCAGAGAAGCCTCCCCACAAGCATGTTTCCTGGTTTGGGAGGTGTGACTGGGAAAGGGTGGACAGAGACTAACTGGGAATGTCCTGTTTGGGGCACACTGTTGCTTCGACATAGATTTACCCATCATCTCCCCATTTTAAATTCTTCTCCCCAGCAACACAGCTGCTGTTGCCAGTGCAATTGCAGGGAGACGCCTGCTCAGGGTTGCAGACCTTTGCTGGAGCATGCTCATTTTACTCTGTGGGGGCGATGCATGTACAGTCCCACTTGGGTATAGGAGCAATGAAGGAATGGAGGAGACTTATTCAAATGTGATCTTTGAAAAACGTATCTAGTGACTTACAAAAGGTGTCTGCTAAGTGTGTATGAACGGACACTTTTTTGGAGGCTCATAACTTGGCCAAAAATTATGCACATTTCAACTGGAATGGCAAAAGGCACAGCCCTGCTCAGGGTGACCTACCTCACCAAATTTCAAGTCCATGCTCCAAAGGGTGGAGATTCTAGGGTTTCTCCACAAAACAATTACAAACACACATATTGTTTGAATGTGATAACAACAATGTATTTTTTGTTAACCTAATTTTATGAAACAGCTAAATAGTTTTAGCCGGAACTTTCCTCAGACAAGTCAGCCTGAGGCAGACATGTAGAATGGAAAATTTCAGTCTAATGATAAATGTATAGCAAAATTCTCAGCAACTAAAGACATGGTTTTAATAAAAAAGTGTCAGGAAGCTTTATCTGTCAGTGTTATATTACCCATAGTAACTTTAATTACACCTTTTAGAAATGTGCACTAATACTAAATTGAAAAAAAAATGTTATTCGAGTCTTTCATATGTCTTTAGCATGCTGGAACACTTCAATACAGAGCAGTAATTGGTAGTTATCTTTTACCATGCAGAAAACATTTGTCAAAGTTGCAGCTAAACTACAAAGTAGTAAGCCTAATCCTCCGATGCTCACTGAGGTACAACTTTGATTGAAATACAGACAGTGTTGTCTGAACACAGGCTGTGGGACAGGGACCTATTAGAAATGAAATCACCTATATGTTTTTATTACCATATTTACACAAATAGAAAGCCTCAAATCAGACCCTGATTATATAAGAAGACCCCCTGATAATTAGATTTTATATACAGAAAATTTATAAATTTGTTATAATTTTCTAGGTATAGAATCCTCTAATTATTGGAGGTTTGTCTTGAATTTGGCCCCTTCCCACTGCTACAGGCAGGAAAAGAAATCTGGGGGGTTAGGTAGCCCCTTTGCTGTCTGCTGCCTGTCCCCCCCCCCCCAACTTTTTCCTCTGAAAGCCTCTTCCCACTCTTCTTACAGTCAGACCCTGCCCTCCCTGGGCACATCCCCACGAGTGCACACGTGTGGTTTGCAGTGCTGCAGACTGTCTGCAGTGCTGCAAACTGCATGTGCTGCAAACCTCACACACTGTACATACAGGCATTTGCTGCACTGCTGATTTGCAGTGTTGTGGGTTTTTTAAAAAAAATCCGCACCAGAAAAAGTGAGGCGGTGAACATGGTGGCAGTGTGTGATGCCCAAAACCAGAGCCTGGACAGCCAGAGGCATGCTCCAGCTGCCAGCCAGGCTCCACATGCCCAGGTCACCACTGCTGCAGCTCCAGGAGGCCCCCAGAATCTCAGGTAAGGCTGCTGGGGCCAGCCCAAATGCTGGCCCCAGCCATTCCTATCCTACCCAAGACACCTTGCTGCATGCCAGATACCAGCTGATTTGAATAGAGGTGTGGGGGCATTCCACTCATGGGGATGCACCCCCTGAGCATTTGGAAGTGATGTGCAAATTTGAAAACAATAACCTTGAAATTAAACATGACTGTAGCAATTTGCATATAGTATCCATATAGACTTAGTTCATCTAGAATTGATGCATGTTACCTTTTTTTGGAACTGCTGCAAGCTTTATCACAGGTGCTCCATAACACACTTTTGAGCAGCACTTTGGCACCTACTTTCTATATAATACAAGCTATGCATGATATTAGTCCAAAGCCAAAGGCTCATGATTTACCACACAGTTAAATTGGGCTGGGCCGCACCAGAGTCAACAGCATTTCAAGGCATGATCACCCACAGGTCAGCTCTGCTCATTGTGTGTGTGTACTCCAGATACCCCAACAAAGGATTCATGTGCTAATTTACCCCCACTCATGATTGGAACTGGGTGTTCTTGTCACAAGTTCTGGGATGCTTCAAAATTTATATGCAGATGAGGCGCAGGGATTCTGTGTGAACTGTTTGGGGCACTGTTTCATGATGTTTGCCAGACTTTTAAGGCTGGTGAAGAAACAGGAATTATTGGAAATGGTTCAGTTGTGGAAGTGAAGAGTAATTCAAAAGACAGGCTGCTGCAGTTTCTCACTATGACTTGAAAAAGGGTGGTGAGGGGGGCTGTGCTTAATGAGCACTACCATATATCTTATTCATATAGATTGCACTAACTTATATCCTTGTGGTATGTTCCCATCAGCATCTTGGTCTTTCTGGCTAAGATAAAACGTGGCATTTTTGGCATGAAGGAGAGGGTGTCAGGGCTTGTTTTGGCCCTCCAAGTGCATCTGGTATTGCAGTGCATATACCAGGCCCAGTGCCAGCTCCTTGAGGAGGGAACACACACCCATTTTTTTTAAGGGTCACACAAAAAAAAATGTTCTCATCAGCATTCTTGCTCAATGTGGGTCATGTGTTTTATAGTCATGCTCAATTTTGGCTGCATATAATCAACTTCATAGTTGGTTTCCATTACTGAGCACATGCTGCTTTTAGCAGCAGTTTAATAATAGACAATTATTATGGAGATTTCCTTGTATGTGATTATAAGACATGGGGCTTTTTTCAATATGCCAATGGGTGGGGGAATCTCATCTTGTATTTGAATAAATAATATATCTACATAAAAAAAAGTATGATAGTTGTGCCATAAGCTGATCTATTTCTCTCTGTGTTAACAGTGGCCACATATAGACATTTAGTTTCTCCTGGGAGACTGTTTGTTCCTGACAACAACCAGGGTTAGTTTCTCCTAACTGACTGTATATATTCTCTTCTGAGAGAAGCCACAGCACAGTTCTTCAGCATTGCAGAGTGCTTTCTTCCTGCCCATCCCAAAGTGTGTCGCTTGCTTGACTGCTGCTCCAGCCAAGCAGCGAGCAGAGCATAACCCAAGGGTGGTCAAAATGAGGCCCATGGGCTGGATGTGGCCTGCCAGGCCATTCTATCTAGCTTGCGGAGCCCCTAAAAAAATCTAGAAAATTTATATTTATCTTCCCCTGGCTGCCTGTCACGAGGTCCTTGATTGTTTGCCAAAACACAGTAAGTGGCCCTCCACCCAAAATAATTGCCCACCCCTGGACCCTTTCACAAGCCCCACATTATGCAGCTGGGAGACAAGCTAAGCCTAAGCAGTCTGGGTCAGCCACTGATGCCATCTGTCTCTGGGCAGACTGAGGGAGCCTGAAGAGCATGCTGAGATGTGTGCACTAGGGGCTCCTGGCTGCACAGCATCACCTGCAAGCTCTCTGCTCTTCAGGGGCTCAGGATTCAAATACATGTTCAGGCATCTGCAGGTAAGTTTTTCTGCCAGAAAAAAAAACCCAGGAAAATTTCCCCAGATCATTTGAATGTGTGTACACAGGCACTGGTAGGACACTCAGTTTTTCAAGGTATCATCTTATATTTTAAAGCAGTTTTATTAAGGCAACCTTTAAAAAAAAAACAAAAAAATGTTTTCTGAAACTGTTTATTAGTAACTCATTCCATAACAATATGTGAAAGCAACACCAGTGGAAGGTATTCAGCATGACTGGGGCTGATTCAGCAAACTGCTGACCTAGAAAGTGTTGGGCATCCTCAGCTCCCCTTAATTGTAACTAGAATTGAAGGTGCTCAGGATCAGCTTTTCTTCTTTGTTAATTACTCTATGACCATGAAAGAACAGTGTGAAAGCAAAAAATGGTGGCTTTAAAATTAAAACAGATGCAATGTCTAAATATGCTGCATTAATGCTTGCAGTGTGGCAGCTCCTAATGTAGTAGATGAGGAAATGAAAAAAATAGCTTCATTCAGATACTCTAGATATTTTCAAATTTCAGTGTACTGGGCAGTAAGCAGTCAAATGAATAAGAAAAAGTGTTGAACCATTTACTTACACAATAAAGATCAAAATTGGAATTTAAAATTGTTTTTCAAATGGGGTTTGTATATGTGTGCACACAAATGCATACATATGCATATACACATGCTCATGCAGTTGTTGTACACATAAAATATGTCCTTACTTATACTTGGTCCTTAGAAAGGATTTGGGTTACTGTGTAAGGTGTTTGAGAAACTGTATGTATGATGGGAACTCAGAAGAAAGCAGAGTTTGGGGAAAAAAGATCATCTGGGAACCATCTGAATAGGAGATGTGAATGAAAGCACTGGAACAAGATGATATCACTGAGAAGCAAAATAATAGTGGAAGAAGAGGGCATGACCGTACAGATCAGTAAGAAGTACTAATAACGAGAGAAAGGGAGATGAGAGGAAGGAGATACTGCTATAAGGAAGAGAGCCAAGAAAGCAAAAAGAGAAGATAGGAGAAAAGCAGAGGAGGATTTAATGATTGATTGTGTTGAACAGACAATTCAAGCAGAATATGAATAGAGAAGTGTCCTTTTGACTTAGTGGCTGTTAGAAATCAAGGCAGTCTGATTAGAGAAAAAAAGCCATATTTTAGGGTTCATGGGAAGAATTAATAGAAGAAATGGAGGGGAACAGACAGGTCACTATAGAAGGACAGTTTGGAATGACATTAGGGAGAGATGTGCAATAGGGCTGTGCGAAGCTTCAGCAGCCAAATTAATTTGGAGGAGATTCGGGCCGATTCGGCGGACAAATCTCCAAATCCAAATCAAATTGGGAGACCAATTAAAAGGTCAGAATTGAATCAGAAGCCTCTGAATTGATTCAGAAAATATTCAGCGCTGCTTTGTAGATTCGGCCATATGCTAAACAGGCAGCAGTCCTCACTACGCTGGACACAACTGCCTCCAGCTGGTAAGTCTGTTGTAGTAGGCAGAGAGTAGAGGGAAGGGGTGTGGGAGAGGGAGGGATTGGGGCTGGGAGAAGCTGCCCAACTTGGGTGGGGGGGTACCATGCCCACATCCCCCCCCACCTCCCTCCCCAAGTCCTGCACCCCCCCA